CTTTTTTCATAGGGGAAGGGATGACATGCCAAGGCTACCCATGACCACTCTTTGTTTCATCTTGGTCCAGCCCCATCTATGAGCTCAGGAAACCTACATACTATAGAGAGATGTAACAACTTAGAGATACAATAACTAATGGCCTCCTGTGGCCTGGAGGACATTTATTCATGCCCGTAAGGCCAGGCTCCTGCTCCCTCTCCTCCCCACCTGCCCCACCCCTCTGATTCAAGGCCCTGAGAGAGCAGCCAGGACAGGATTCCTGGGTCTCTGAGAACAAAGTCTGCAGGAGGCCAGGCCCGGAGCACTCAAGGGGCCCATGCTGGGGCTGACCCTGTTCCCTTAGGAGATCACACTCATGCCAACTTGTGTGAGCTGCTCATTCCTCATCTCCTTTGACCTCCCTGCCGCTTGTGACCCCGTGTTCACGCCTGTCCAGTGGCCTCTTCTCCTTTGGTCTCTGTCATCCACGCTATCCTTATTCTCCTCCCTCCTCTGGCCTTTCTAGATCAGGTGTCTTGTAGAGTCTTCTTTTTTATCTCTCCCTTATGCTCTCATGTTATTCAGGGTCATATCTTAGGTCTTCGTCTCTTCTTTCCCCAGCAATTCCGCCACCCTCTGTCTCTCAAGGTTCCCCCTCAGGCTGTGCCGATGATGCCCCAATCTCAGCCTCCGGCACTGCTCTCTCTGAGTGCCCAGCCATATGGCCAGCCACCTACCAGGACCCCGAGCCCAACATGATCTTAGTACATCTCCCAAAACCTCTACTTTTCCAGGAAGCTCTTTATCTGGTGATGACACCACTACCTCCATAATTGTCCAAACTAGAACTTTACACCTTTTCTTTGATTCTTCCCTTTCCCTCACCTCCTTCACCCAACCAATCACCAGTCTCATTGACTCCACCTTCTTGTCTTCATTTCCCCATTTCCAGCTATAACACTCTGAGGCCACATGCTCTCCATCACCTGGGTCCCAGTAATGGCCTCCAGATCTGCTCCATGTTATTTAGCACAGCGATCTTCCTTAAGTGAAATCTGATGTCACTCCCTTGTTCCACACCTTTCAGTTGTGGCTAATAGTTCTCAGGATTAAAACAAAGTCCCCCAGTTTAGCACCCAAGGCTCTTCAAGACTTGTCTCTTGTCCTCTCCCTCCAGTGGCAGCCTCTCCTCTTGGCTTCGGGTTCTCCACACTTGGGGCTCTGCCTGTACACTCCTCAGCAGGATCCCGGGCGCCAGGTGCCAGGACAGAAGCCGTAGATAGCAGGCGTCCATTGAGACAGGCCAATGCCCCAAGCAAAGAAAGGAGAGATGCCTTGGTGTGCGCCTCAGTTTCCCGTATGATCAATGTGAATCAGCTGCTCCAACTTTCATTCAGAAGGGCAAGGTCTAGGTCCCAGATCAGTGTGGCCCACCAGGATGACCATGGCTGGGGGGCCAGCTCTCCTGCTGCTATCACGTTCACCCGAGCACATACTTTGGACACTCGCCCATGCACATACTTCAGACGCGTACACACCCTGCCCTTGGAGAGAACGCCAATGAGCAGGACAGCTCCTATGTGCTGAGCATTTACTGAGTGCAAGGCCCTCTGTTAAACATTTTTGCATCATATTTCATCAAATCTTCTCATTTCATAGATGTGGAAATGGAGGCTGGAGAGGTGGAAGCACTTTCCCACTATTAGCTAAAATGTGCTAGACCCAGAATTTGAACCCATTGCTGTTGGATTCCAAAGTCATTAAAACACATGGGAATAATTTAAAGGCACAGATGTGAGTAGAAGACTTGTGAGAAAGGGGCAAATGAGAGAGAGAGAGCAAGCAGCGAAAATGGAGAGAGTGACAATTTGGGAGAGGGATGGGGGTGAAGGATGGAGAAATCACTGCTCTGTCCAATCACATTTGTCCTTCCCATTGTGTGTCAGCAGGAGGGCGAAGCACCCTATTAGGTACTCCATCTTCCTCCGTAGCCTGGCTCCTTGGAAGGTCAAGTGTCATGGAACAGAAGCGAGCAGAGAGGGTCAGGGAAGGACTTCTTATGTCCTGCTGGTCAGAGGCTGCACTGCACCCAAGGCCACTACATGGGCCTCCGGGGGAAGATCCTTGCGAAGTTAGCATTCATCATTTTTACATCTACGTTCAGATCCCTAATAAGAAAGTAATAATATTGCCAAGCCTTTACCATGCTTTCTATGAGCTAGTGAGAAGACTAATTATCTGAAGACACTAATAAATGGTTATGATGTTATTAAAATTGGCACCAAGCTAGGATGAATAGGCTCATCAATTGCAGGGAATCGGGTTTAACAAGGTCCCCTGCATGTCCTGTCAGGGCCTGTGGCTTCAATGGAGACCGGGCAGCACGGAGGCCACAAATGAGGCCTCCTCCTTTTCCCAGCTAAGGGTCAGCTCAGGAAGGTCTGGCTGCTGCTGGGTTTTTCTGACCCCCCACCTTCCCTGCCCCTTGCAAATGGCTCTTCAAAGCTCTCAGGACTGCTGGGATGCAAGACAAGGCTGGCATCGGCCCTGCTCACTTCTGCATGTGGCCTCCCTTCTCCATGTGATCCCTCCCTCTGCCTCCCCAGTAGAGCTTGCCTCTGCCAATGACAGGCTCAGAACCCACCTGCAGCCCCACTCTCCAGAGCCCCACTCACAGGCTCATAGGGAGCCAATAAATAGAGATGCCTCTGGGGCCTGCTGACTAATTTCCATAATAATTACAGTTATTACTAATAACAGTGACAACACCACTCCTTTCCATTTATACTGAATTCCACAACCTGGGAGCTGCTTCCCCACCAGTTGTCTCTGCTGGAGCCTCACAATTAGTTGGGAAGAATGCAGGGCAGGTATTATTACTCTCACTGTAGAGATAGGAAACAAACTCAGGGTAATAAAGGGACTTCCTGAAGCCCCCTTCCTGGCTTCAAAGGAATAATTGTAATGATAAAAATAAAAATAGTAAGAGCAAGTACTGACACGGTGCCAACTATGTAATGCGCACATGTGAACTTACTTAGTCCTCACAACGGCCTTAAGGGGGAGGTTCTGTTATTTCCCCTCACTGTAGAGATAGGAAACAAACTCAGGGTAATAAAGAGACTTCCTGAAGCCCCCTTCCTGGCTTCAAAGGAATAATTGTAATGATAAAAATAAAAATAGTAAGAGCGAGTACTGACACGGTGCCAACTATGTAATGCGCACATGTGAACTTACTTAGTCCTCACAACAGCCTTAAGGGGGAGGTTCTGTGATTTTCGTTCCCATTTTACAGAGGGGGAAACTGAGGCACAGAGAGGTTAAGAAACTCGTCCAGAAGCACACAGCTAGTAAGTGGCAGGGTGGGAATCAAGTCCAGCCTGATTAGTTTTATTATTTACTATTTACTATTAGCTCATTACTATTAGCTTCTCCCGCCAGCCTTCCCCACAAGCCCAATTTCCAGAGGCCTAGGAAATGACTGCCTGCAACGCTTTGCTTGAGTCTTCTTGCTCTGAGCTCCAGCCTCCTTCCACATCCAACCTCCAAGGTCCCTGTATGATAGCTCCACAGGCTGACAGAGAGCCCCGATGCTGCCTGCCCCCACGCCTAGAGGCAAAGTGAGAATAGTCCCTTTGGCTGGTACTTTTCAGGTTGCAAAGACCTATAGCACGAACCTTCCTCTGCCCTGGCTCTTTGCAGAGGTTGGAACACAGGGCTTCAGAAGCAGAGAGCCTCCGAAGACCACTCACCTCTCTCTGTCCCAGCTTCCTGGTCTGTACAATGGGTGGTAGTAACAGTATCTACCTCGCTGGGTTGTTTGTTGTCAGGATATATGAGAGAAGGAATATAAGGGCTCCAGTACAGATCAGTTCCTTGCCTGCATTAGCGGATCTTTGATAGGAAATGTTTCTGGAGAGTTGAGGGCCCTGTGCTTGAAAGCAGGTAATGTTTATCAAGTGCCAGGTGAGCCTGTACAAATGGTGCCTCATTTAATTCCTGCAACAATCACAGGAGCTATGGAGGTTGCTAATTACTCCTATTTTAGAAGTGAAGAGATTGAGGATCAGTGACATTGATGAAGTTACTTGGTTGTACATCTACTAGCTCGTAAAGCTGGAGCTTGAATCCCCATCCAGCGGTCCGCAGCCTGGGCTTCTAACTAAGGTGATATGTGCTCTTACCAAATCTTATAAGTCTCCCTCTTACTGAGGGCTGGCTGTGGGCCGGGCCCTGTACCTAGTGCTTCATGTCCTTCCAATGAGGAAGGAGGAATTATATCCACTGACAGACGAGGAAGTCACTGAGGGAGGTCCAACGACATGCCTCTGTTTGCATAGCCAATGAATGAGGAAACAGGACTTGAACCCAGGTCCTTCTGATTCCTCTTCCTGTGATGTCCTTATTCTCTAGCTTCTCTCTGTTTTTTTCCCAGTGTTCCGCAAAACTCAGCCCCTCCTACCACCTGCTCCCAAAAGCTCCACCCACTGTTTCAGCTTCTTGCTCCTCTGAGTCCTCTCCCGTCTCAAGCAGAGTATGAATTTGCCTCATTGGTACCTCCGAGCTGAGCCTCGCTCATCCCTTCATCCCAGCCCTTGGCCTCCTGTCTCCTGATTGGACCCAAAGTTGCTCAAGACAGTGACAGATCAAACTCTGTCTCAGAGTTCGGTGAAATATTTTGCAATTGCACTTTGCCCACACGGCTGGAACACCCTTTGGTAACTTTTAAAAGAGCAGAAGGTAGCGATCTTCTAGAGAGAGTTCATCAAAGACGTCGGTGGGAAGGGCTCTGGATCAGATGGGGGCCAGTGCGTGTGTGCTTATGTAGAGGGGAATGTCTGGGAGTTGGAAGCATGAACAAGGCAGGCCTGAGAGCTGGGTCCTCCTCACCCAGATTGTGGCCTTTGTCTCCATCTCACCTGCCCCTAGCTAGAGCCCTCATCTACCAGAATGCCCCACCCTGATGTGCACACAGGATTTGGCCAAGCCTCCCAGCGGGGGTCCTCGGCCCCACTTACATGGTCAATGAGTTCCTTGATCATGCCGTTCCACTGGCCCTTGTCATCCTGTGCTCCGTACTTGCCATCCTCCACCAGCCGGATCTCGTAGGAGAAGCCCAGGATGTGGGCCAGTTCCTTAAGAAGGTCAATGCAGTAGCCCTCGAACCGGTCATTCCCAAACAGGGTCTTGTCGGACTTCCGGAACATGACAAAGGGCTCCTCCTGCAGGGACAGACAAGTGAGGAGGTGACAAGGCTGAGTGGGTCGGGGAGGCTGATTGGGGCTAGAGAGCTTGGGCTGGAACCTCTGCTACTTTTTTTTTTTTTTTTTAAACCTTTGGATGGCTTAGATGGATGGCCTCATAAATCAGGGAGGAAAAGTACATTTCCTGAGAGTCAACTTTTTGCTTTCTAGATGGCCACGTACTGGTGTCCTTGGCACGAGGTAGAGGATCAGGAGGTATTTATTAATTGTCCAGTGGTCACAGAGCTAGTAAGTGGTGGAACAGAGATTTGAACTCAAGACGATCTGATTCTGAATCCCATGCTCTGTCTGCTGCACCATCAATACAGGCCAGTGGTTCTCATGATGTGGTCTCCGGACCAGCAGCATCAGCATCACCTGGGAATTATACAATCTTGGGCCCCACCCAGAACACTGAACCAGAAATTCTGAGGCGAGGCCCAGCAATATGTGTTGGAAAAAGCTCTCCAGGGGATTCTGATGTCGGCTAAAGTTTGAGCACATTGCTGCAAAAGGCCCATCATCAAGTATCTTCCCTGACGTCTCTCCCAACTTCTATTTAAAAGATTAGATCTACAAGCTCTGATATCGCTCTCTTTCCAAGGATCTCAGTCCCCAGCATTAGGATCTGTCAGGTGGGTGATTCCTGATAACCACGATAGCTTGCATTTGTATGTGGATGTGCAGGGCACTTGTAAATCAGCAAATGAGATAATGTCGGAGGGCCTAGCACAGGGCCCAGCAGAGCAGGAGGGCTCAAGAGACAATAGCTGATATTGCCTTAATTTCAACCTTCTAGAGGTAGGTACTAATAATTCCATTTTATAGGCACAGGAAGTGAATTCACAAGGATAAGTGACTTGTATAAGTTCCCCTGTTCCCTAGAGAGAGGATCTGAGTTCAGGTTGATGTAGCCCAACAACCTGATGAGCTTGGAAGGTAGCTTGTGGGTCCAGAGCATAGGTGATAGCTGTCGCATGTCGGGCTCCTTCCCTTCCAGGTGATGGGGAGCCAATGAAGGGCTTTGAAGAGGGCACAACTCTGAGATCTCATTTAGAAACAAACTCCTGGCAAACTTGCAAAGAACAGGCAGAAAAAAAACAGTGGGAAGTAGCTATGGACCTTGTCCAGTTTGAGAGACATGGAGTGAGAAACTGTGGGATCCAATGTGGCAGATTCCAGGCCTCTTGCATTTTTCTAGAATTCAGGTCAACATCCAAGGCCATGATTTGCTGGCTCTATCCACCCAGCTTCACTTACAAATCCCCGTCCTGAGTCTGTGGTAGATGAGCTGAACTCTTAGCAAACTCAAGATTTCCTGAATTCTTGCTATATATCAGGCACCGATTTAAACTTTCTCACAGGCCGTTTGATTTAAGCCTCGCAAGCTTGCAAGATTGGCAACATTATCCCCATCGAAGCTCAGAGAAGGCCAGTAAGTTACCCAAGGCTGCACAGGAGTTGAACTACAGTCTAACGGAGTTCAGTTCCAATTCTTCCTGCGTGTAGCTTCTCTGCCTCTTTCTGAGGCTTAACCTTCCCCAAAGCCAAGTGTCAGAATGCCTCAAACCTTCAGCTGATAGGCGACAGGATTAGCTGACAGAATGCATATGTACTGGGAATCTCACGAACACAGGCCTACAAGGTGGGTGCACACCTAATTATGCAGGTGTCTCATCATTCTCTCAACTGGCGTGGCCATTCCTCTGACATTGTGGGCCTCTGGAGTGGGATGAGCAATGAAAGGCCCTGGCAGCAACCCTCATTGAAGGTCCTTGGGCTCAGAAACCCACCAGCAGCCTCTTGCCAGCTCTTGCTGTGGCAAGTGAGCTTCATTCTCTGGCCCTGGGTCCCCGACAACGCCACCTTTCAAAATCCCATCCCACCCCACTACTGATTTACTCTATATTTTCCAAGTCCTTTGGGATGCTTCAGAGAAAGAGCTGGGGAGTGTCTGAATCCTCAAGAGGTTCCTGCCTCTCCAGGGAGTTTGCGAAAACCACTTCTCAGTCATATTGGGTGGAAATTGGATCCTTTGGCTAGACTCCGTGCTAAACTTTAGCACTATCCCTTACCCTCCAACCAAGTGCTTCCAATCTCTTACCCTCTAACCAAGCAGGCTTATCAGTGAGCTGGAGAACAGAATCTGGGTGGGGCCAGGAAAGGCGTTGGGGCTTCCTGGAGAAAAAAGGACTTTGGCTAGTGCATACACTGCCTTTGTGCAAATTCTTCTCTGGGAAAGTGATGCCCTGAACCCTGGCATTGGGCCTGGTGAGCAGGGCCTGAGTTTCAGTCCGAACTCATCCTTTTGGTTGGATGCTCTCATGCAGTGACCGAATTGCACCACTATGCCTGGTGGCCCTAATTTTGGCTCAAGAAATTGTAGAGACGGTATCAGCTTTCCCACGGGAATTACAACCACACCTAGATTCCTGGGCAAAATCTACCTCTTTCTGTAACATGGGGATAACACTAGAACCTACCTTACAGGGTTGACGTGAGGGTTAAATTAGTCAATCTATGAAAAGCACTTAGATCAGTACCTGGCAAATGTAAACTGCCAATATTATTATTATTATTATTATTATTATTATTATTAAATTTTATTTTTATTAATATTGTTATTACTGTCTTTCCGTGTGCTGGGTGGCCTGTTACTGCAGTGACCTTTCCAGCCTAGAGACCATGCCCAATGTCACCAAAGTTTAAAAATCTTAACTGGCAGCGGGAAAACCATTTGGGAAAAGTCCCCGAGGTAGCTCACTCCCTGACCCTCTCTCCATGCCCCTCCCCGGCCCTAGCCTCTAAAATTAGCACTTCATTTGTGAAGCCACCACAGCCCCCAATCTATACATCTCCATATAAATACGCTGCCTTCTGAGCCGCTGTAAAATGCCATTAATTTCGGGAAGTGCTTTGCGGATGGCATACATATTTAACAGCCAAAGCCCAGAGCTTTAAAATGGTGCTCGCCTTAGTAATGTGTCTCTAGACCTGCAACATTTCCTAGGGGGTAATTCTGAACTCCGCCAACTACTTATTCATGGACTATTTCACAATTTATTACTGGAAATGTCCAGACAGCCAATTCACAAGCTCTCTCGGCTGCTAATCGATTGCTCGGTGAAGGTGCCCTCAATTTCATAACTTCACGCTCTCCTATTGCTCTGGGAGAACAGCTGAAGGAGCAGGGGTAATATTTCTTTTCAACAAGTCACAGGAAACAGGGGTCCAGAAAAATAACCTTTTCCGACTTTTCGTTGTCAGGACTCAGGCTAGTTTCTCCCTGATCACTTATACCAAAGCGAAAGCGGGCCGTGAGCTAAACTTCTCCCAGCCACAGGACCTGTGGAGTTGGAAGAGGGGAGTCTTTGGGCGACGGGTCCAGGGGTTAGCTACCTAACGGCTGCCTTCCCAATCGCCCTTCCGACTTAGGCAATATCCACACACATCCACACATGTGTACACATGTGTGTACAATGCCACTGGCACAAATACAATACATTCTCACATGTTCTGTCTGCCTGGCCCTGCTCAGACACAGAGGCCAAGGACCCTAGACTCAAGGCCTTGGCTTCTGCCAGTTAGAAACAGGACAGAGTATTAGGTGTCCTATCCTCCCAGCAGGTGAAGCCCAGAATGTTCCTGGCCTGGGATGGTTCTCCCAGCCCACATCCTGGTCTTCCTTAACTTTTCCCCTTTCCCGCTGCTGGGTGCCACCGGTCCACCTGCCTGGCAGTTCAGTCTATGTGGGTCACAATATGCAAACGGCAGAAATATATGCGTTGGTGCGTATCTAGACAGCTCTGCGTAGCAGTCCCACACCTACACACGTGCCCATGTACATGCTGACACTGCCACTCACTTCGGCAGCCAAAAGAACACTGAACCTTCAAAAGCAGGACCCCCAGGAATGAGTTGGGTGTGTTTTCTTGGTGTGTGAGCTGAGGTTTGGGCAGATGAATTTTTCATGAGCTCATGGAAGAGCAGAACCAGAAGAGAGGCAGGGGCCAGGCAGGGAGAGGGTGGGGGAGGGCAGGCTTCCAGGCTCCTGCCCCTGCCCTTTCTGCCTCAGGAACGGGGAAGGCTGCCTTCGGCAATGAGGGGCCAGAGAGGGTGGGGTCAAAGCTCTGTTCATCTATGTGTCCAGGGTAAGGTGCCCCTAGCATGTCATGGGTTCAGGACAGGAGAGAGGTGGGTTTTGGGGTAGCCCACACAGAGATCCTGTCCTCTGCCACTTCCAGATTCCAGCGGTCTCAGGACTAGTTCACTAGGGGCAAAGAAGTTGGGTCTTTCTTTCCTTTTGCCTTGTAACTGCCTGTCACTCAAAGTACTGTTGCCCTGACGATACACTTCCAGCCAGGAAGGCCCTTTTCCCACGCCCCCCTTCCCCAGCCCCCAGTGCTCTCAGCTGGTGGTGCTGCCCCTGCTTTTAAGCTGTCAAGCACATCGCTGGGTTTTCAGCCAGAGCACCAGGGGCTAGGCCACTGTCCACAACTGATGCAGCTGTTCCCAAAAAGCCCAAGCCTGGGGACATCGGGGACCTGCAAACCACGCTGAGACTTTCTGGCACATTCTTCAGAGGGTCTGGATCAGTTCTAGGTCTTCAGGTGTCCCTAGGCCAGTCCTTGAGTGGGAATGGGCATCTCTCAGAAGACTCAGAGGAAGGACATCTACCTCAGGACATCTGAGTCAGCAGCCATGTAAGAGGTCAAGGCAATAGGGGCCAGGGGGAGGAATAATCATGATGTCAGGGGCCAGGAGCTCAGACCTTGGCCAAGGCAAGAAATAAAGTGGTGCTTGGGATATGGAGTTTCACGTATCAGTAGGAGACTAGAGCTATGAGAGGCTCATGAGGTCACAAACCCTAACGCCTCAGGGGCCAGGCAGGAAACAACTCTACAAGAGAAAGCCACATATAAACAGTAGGGAGTGGTGGGCTCTGTGGTGAGCCAGGGAATGCCCACTGGGCCTGCAAGGCATCAAGTGCAAGTTCAAAGTTTATAATGCCCTGTGCTAGTGATAACCCCCTTGACCATGGTCCTGTGTCAACCTTCAATGAAGTTCAGGGCTCTGCTTGTGGACAGAAGCCGAGGTTTTCGCTAGAGCTGACACTGCATACTGTATTAAACCCAAGCTTTCTGGGACTGAATTTGTAATCAATAATAATACGAATTAGTAATAATATGAAACAATACGATAATAATATGAATAACAATAGCAGCTATCATTTCGACAGCATGCACTCTGTGCCACTTACGTTTATTAATCATTATTCGTCTCATCTCTGCGCAATAGGTACAATTATTATCGCCTCTCTTTTTCAGATGAAGAAACTGAGGTCCAGAATGGTCAAGCCATTTTCTAGGTCATATAGCTAGTAACTAGTAAAGCCAAGACAAATCCAAAGGTTTGTGCTCTTAACTGTCACAGTCTTGCCCCTGCATCCTGCTCACACTTCATTCGCTAAAGAGCTGTGGGGCTCATGTTTGCCTGGATGAGGGGCAGGGGGAAAGACTGAGCACCTGTGTCCAGGCTGTGGGCCAAGAGGGGCTTCTCTCCTTTCTCATCACCCGGGTGCCTGGGAGCCAGCCAGATGCTACGGTGGGCCCTCAGGTGAGACTGAGTACAGCAAGTCCAAAGCTTTACAAGAAGCTTCAAATATTGACTAGGAAGCTGCGAGAAGAGCAGGGGATGTCTGCTGGATTCTCCCTCTGCTGGTGTAGAAAAAAATCCCTCATGCCTTTGCAGAAGGGTCTTATGTCCTTGAAATCAGGCTGCTGCCGTTTTCATAAAATTCAACCCTGTGGTCTTTCAAGGTATGTGTATTTTGCATCCTTCCGGCATATGATCTTTAGCTCACCCCTTACTGTTAGAATATTGTTTTGCGATAGAATTATCTTAGCTCGTTTAATCATCTCTCTTCCTAATCTCTTAAAGCATACTAGTTTTACCTTTTTATATCTTGTCTTGTGAAAAGTGCTTTATTTATTTATAGCTCACATTTTATGCAGCTCTGTTTTTAATCTTTTACCACCTTTTTATTATTTTATTTTTACCCTTTTATATTTTTGCTTTCCCGCACTTTTATCCTTTTGCTTTCTGACATGCTGGTTTTACATTTTTTACCTTGTCTAGCCAGAGCTGTTAATTATTTATTTTAATTTTTCGTCTTTCTTGATAGCGTTCCTTTTTATTTCATTCCTTATTTTCGTTTTTCTCTTTATTATTTTCCTTTTAACCTTTTTATTTTGTTCTCTTTCAACTCTCCTTTTATCTTTTCTATTTTTATCCACATCAGTCTTCCTTTCCTTGTGCATCAGTCCTCACTCTAATCCTTTTGCTCTTTTTGTTTCTTTTTAATTTAAAAATTTTTTTTATAGTTTTTTTTCCTTGTTCCTAATGAGATCTTTTCACTTAGTAGTTGAGCAGTTTGATTTTTATATTTTTTTAGTTGACAAAATGTCGATCAATAAAGGCAGGCAGGATGTATGATTGTCAGGAAGATGCCAGTGAGGGTCTCACCCCAAGTTGGCGGTGGTGGTGGGGTGTCTCTCCTGCCCTCTCATTCTAGATCTGTCAGAAGTGTGTCCAGAATCCCCATTAGGTCTCCATCACCTTTAACATGGATCTTCTCAAAAGTCATAACCCTGGAGACTGGGGTTGAGATCAATAGGCTATAACTGCTTCCTAGAAGCCAGTGGTGGCCCTGGCATCTGCTCCTCACTCGGGTTCCTGGGGGAATGGGGTTTAACTATGACATCCTTTCCTGCTCCACAGTATCCATCACCTGGCCACTAAGCACGTCCCCAGTGAATCACGCTAGAGGAAATCCACCCGTCATGGTTCCAATCAGACTTCCAGGGTCAGGGAGTGGGTGAGATACAAACACGCGGGCCTCGGCAAAAGAGCTGGCCAAGTAGGTCTCGGGTAGGCATGAGGGCTGACTGCTCTGCCTTTGCGAGGAGGCCACTCACAATCACCTCCTGGTGTCTCTGGCCCGTGGCATGAACAGAATTGCTGTGTTCTAGCTACTTTCTGAGGGCTGTGATGTTGACACCTTCCTGCAACTCCACCTCCCCTACCTCCCCCACCTTCCAGCCTCCCAGCAGCCTCATAAGAGGTGCTCGGTCCATACTGGGTGGGGCAATGGAGGGGACTCCCCAGCCCTGATGGCCAGCTTGCTGCCAGATCAGACAATCTCTCCTGCAGGGCTGCAGGCTCTTACCAGCACTGTGGTGACGATGAGTGACCTATTTGTCAGAGAGTCAGTGACGTTAGGGCCTCGGCCTTTGGCAACCTCTGTGATGTTGAGGCCCTCGGCAGGACTCCACACCCCAACCTGGATGGACAGACAGACAGAGAACAGCGTGCTGAGTCCTCAGTCTCTCCATCCTATCTCCACACCGACAAGCCCATCATCTCGATGCGATTCTTCATGACCATCGCAGTCATGGCTAACACATTCTGAGCTAACCTTTTATTTCTGATAGCCTCCAGGAGGAGGCCCCCAAGGCGTTGAATCTCCCAAATTCTGCCATCTCTTCCTTGGTGGCAAACCCTTCACAGCTAAAGGGAGAGGTGAACATAAAGAGAGCCCAGGGAGCCCAGTGGAAACTGTCCTGGGTCGGAGCAGATGCCATGAGGAAATGAGAGGTCCTGGGTCAGGGTCAGGTCCTCCCCTGGGACAGAGTGACTCTGTGCCTAGTGGGCTTCCCAATTCATGGGAAGACCTTGGGCACCTAGCTCTCATTCAATGAGTCTCAGCCTCATTGCCAGCTCTGGGGCCAGATGCCCTCCACAGCCCAGGACAGAGTATATGTAGAATGAGTAAAGGGACGAGATGTGTCACGTGCAGGAAGGCAGGCTGGGCAGGAGGCTGGCCTCTGTAGCTGTTTTGGGGGAGGTAGAACCGAGTGGACGACCTTCACTGGAGGCCTTGGATGCTGCTGGGTTTGCAGGCAAGTTTGCTTCATAGTTTTACTTCTAAAGGTGACAGACACACTGGCCAAGGCAGCATAATCTGCTCCTACAGTATCCTTGTTGCTATCAGGCCTGAGGCTGGAGGGAGGTAAGGGAAGATCAAGTTTACAGTTTATTCTAAAGCCGTGGGCCTCTTAAAGGTCCTTTTGGACACAACTTTGCCCAGCCCTGCCCCAATCTCAGCTCCTCTCTTTCAAGGACGGTTTCAGCATGCCCACTCTGTCCTTGGCTCAGTTGGGGGCAGGGGGGTCCTCAGGAACCTTAATCAATTAAACAGAGAGGCTGAGTGCAAACATCCCATTAAGAGAGCTGTGCAAGGCAGATAGCAGAGAGACATGTAATTATGCTCGGGTAATTCTGCCTTAATCCTCCCAAAGCCACTGGCTAGAGCTGGCTGGATCAGCTATGACCCAGCTTAGCAAACAGAAGTGATGATATGAGAGGCAAAGCGGCTGTGTTTGGGGGCTCAGCACCCTCTCCAGGCAGGATCTCTTGTCTTTGCAGACCTCCCAGGGCAAGAGGGGAGGAGACAAGGAGACAATGTGAAAGACGCTCTTTTTTTTTTCTTCTCTTAAGTGGGCCGAGCTCAGCACGAGGGCCCCTAGTAGCATGCCTGGGTGCAGAGGCGCTCAACAAACATCTGTCTTAGAGGTCAAATGAACAGCAGGAACCCTTACTCCAGCAAGCATCTATTGAGTTCTGACTGTATGCCCTCCTATACACCCGGTACCATGGGGATATGAGAATAGTTAGGACTGAGGAGGACCCAGCCTGCCCAGAATCTGGGTGGCTGAGACCAGGAGCCTCTGGCGGGTGCCTCTGCAGATCAGCCTCAGTTTGGGTGTAGTAGAGAGAGTTTTTCTTGAGTATTAGCTGTGGTCAGTTTGTATCCGTTTCTTGGAGAAGGAGGGTATGGATGGGCTCAGAGGAAAAGAGTGCTCTGATGACCAATTACTGATCCCAGCCACAGGCGTGGGAATGGGAGGTGGTGGCGCATGTGCCATCTAATTGCCACCCTTAGAATTTCAGGCTATCCCCAGAGATGGACAGCTGACAGAGTGAAAACAAGACAGCTACTTGAGTGAATACTGTATTGCAGTAGTAATGTCTGAGGGAAGAGGTCCCTAGCACTGGGGGAGTTTAAACAGAAGCGAGAAGGTTGCTTAATGAGAACTCATAGAGTTTGTGTAGGCTTGGAGCAGCTGGCCTTGAAGATTTTAGGAGCAGAGGCCATAGCCCCTGCTCCTATATTCCGCTGAAGCTATATTCCACATGAAAGACTTACAGAATTATGGTGAGGTGTCCCTGGCCGTAGCTCCCTACCACAGTAGTGGGGGAGTTTAAACAGAAGCGAGAAGGTTGCTTAATGAGAACTCATAGAGTTTGTGTAGGCTTGGAGCAGCTGGCCTTGAAGATTTTAGGAGCAGAGGCCATAGCCCCTGCTCCTATATTCCGCTGAAGCTATATTCCACATGAAAGACTTACAGAATTATGGTGAGGTGTCCCTGGCCGTAGCTCCCTACCAATGAATCCGTGGAGTAACCCAATGAATCCGTGGAGTAACCTTGGCAACAAAGTGCAACCCAGGCAGAGGCAGCTCCGTGCCAGAGGGAATGAACCAAGAAGACAGAGGCCACTTCTGTACCCGGGGCAATGGAGATAGTTTGCATGGGTGAAGGCCCCAGAACTGCAGGAAGGAGGGAGTGGAGACAAGCCTGGTAGAGCAAGTTAGGCCATATTTTGGAGAACCTCAAGGGCTGGGAGAGGGGCTAAAGCTTACTGACTTGGTGCTGGGGAGCCATGGTTAGTTTCAGAGCAGGGTAGAGCTGTGCTTTGGGAAGCTTCGCTTGTGTGTACACCCGAATGGCTGGACGGCTCAGAAGTGGAGGTGGGAAGCCAGGCTGGAGTGTCAAAATAATCAAAGAAGTGGCCTGAACCAGAGCGGCCAGGGAGGAGAGGAGTCGAGGAATCCTGCAGTCCCACGGGCATCAGAGCTGGCTCCTCTACTTCTTGGTCTCTGTTCCCTACATTTAATACACCCCACTCCCAGGGTTGGAGGGTACCCTGGTGGCTCCCAGGGACCAGCCTGCTACGGAAGACAGTGTGGCTGAGCTCTTGGCCTCGAGGTCCCAGGGGATGCCGAGAATCAAGGGTCAGCCTTAAATTTCCCTTCTCAATCCAGACGCCTGACTGACAGAATATGCTGAAGGTTCCCAGGGATCGGAATTGGCCACATTATAGACATTTCTATAGTAGCCAGGTGGGAGTCTCCGGGCCCTGGCAGGCCTGCTTTCTTTGTCTAAACTCCCTGGAATCACAGAGGCCTTAGAAGCCTAGGGAAGTTCCAAAGCCCTGTGTTTCAACCTCTCCCCAAGATTAAGGGTCATTACCAGTCTCCCAGACAAGGAATTATTTCATTTAATCTTTGCTTAAATGCCTCCTGTGACAGTGAGCTCACTACTTATCAGGCAGGCACCCCCTTGGTCTTTAAAAAGTTTCTCTTATTCAAGGACATATCTCTCCCTCTGCCCCATGACAGCCCTGCAGAAATTTAGAGATAGTCTATCTGTCTGCCCTGTGAGCCTCCCAGTATTTTTCCCAGGTTAGGCATTCCCGATGGCCCTTGCTCCAGTGACGTGGGTGTCTGCTGTGGCCGGCCCACTGGGTTCTGCACCCCTCATCTGACCAGGGCTTCATGTTCTCCGAAGGGCCAAGGCACAGGCCATACCGGGTCATGTCGAGCCCCCAAGGGGCGGCTGCCACACTGGGCACAGGCCACCCTGGCTCTTGCCCCCTCCCTCTCTTGAAGCCACGTACCTTCTCCAGGCCATCCTCCTTTAGACTGATGATGTCCAGATCGAAATCAGTCCGTAAGCCACTGGTTTTGTTGAAAACAATCCGTCCAGTTAATCCTTCCCATTGAGCCTGCAGGAGGGGAGAGGGCAGAACGGCAATTCCTCGGGCTCATAAATCATCATTCGGTACAACTGTACAATGCTTCATTTTAATTACTCTTCGTACTGATACTGTTCCCCCAAGACCATGATTAATTAATAATCACCTCCATCATTGCTCGGGCTGTGGTGCGAGCCAGCGATTTCCATAAATTCTATTATGCTCTTTAGCCAGCTTTACATTTGCACCTTCTCGTGTACAACATCGATCTCAGACGCGCTCAAATAAGTCCCCGCCTCGAAGCCACGGGAAGGGGAGGCCCATGTCAGATCCCCCGAGAGGGACAGGGAGGCAGGCAGGTGGGGCGGGGCAGGCGAGACCTGCCGAGAAGCAGAAAAGCCAAGGGGCCAGGTTGGCCCTGGCTGGAAGACTAGACACTTGGAGTGGCCCCAGAGAGCCAGGGGAAACAGAGGTCACCCCAGCCACTCCCAGCCCCAGCCCCAGCCCCAGCCCCAGCCCCAGCCCCGTGCATGCTATGATTAAGAACCATGGTGTCAGAATGCTGGGCTCAGCTGCAATTAGCTGTGTGAATTTCATTGCACTGCTCTGCCTCGGTTTCCTCGTCTATAAAATAAAACTAATAATAGTACCCATCTTCCCCACATGTGATAAGGGTGAAATAAATCCTGTAAAATACTTAGAACAGTGCCTGGTACAACCTGAGCCCTGAATAAATGGTAGCTCTTCATGAGCATCATTAACACAGAGGTGGGCAGAGGTTCAGAGAAGTTTCAGAACCCGAAGTGAGAAAACCTCCATCTTCTAGATCAGAGGTTGGCAAACTACCTGCCTGCTGACTGTTTCTGTAAACAGTTTCTTAGCTCACAGTCATGGCCCATGTGTTTATCTATTGTTTTTGGCTGCTTTTGCGCTGCAACTTTGGAGCTGAATAGCTGCAATAAAAGACCATCTGGCCTGCAAAGCCTAAAATATTTACTGTCTGGCCCTTTGCAGAAAAAGTTTGCAGGCTCCCCTTCTAGATAATGTCTCTCCCGTGGGCCCAGAGCATTCGCTCTACAAGGTACTTGGCACTGCGCATGTCATGCAACCTCCACGGCGGTCCTGGCAGGTGATGATTCCCATTTTATAGAAGAGGAAGCGAGCCTGGAGGGGCCCCCATGCTCAAAGAGTGGATAAGAAGGTGAGTCAAACAGAAGCGAGAGTCCCAGGGCCCCTCCTCTCCTTCCATGGGGTTAGGATTCAGCCGGCACACAGGTAAATGCCCGAATGTACAGCTATCTGTGTCTGGGGAAAGAACAAACCCACACATCCTGGAGCCCTGGGAACAAAGGTGGGCTGCGAGCTCACACAGCCCGACTGGCCCAAGGGGAGGTCTGAATATCGAAATCCTTGCTTGGACACATTGAGCCCCTTGGCACCTGGGATCATGATCTCCTACAGGTTCTAAGAAAGGCTCCCAGCTTCTCTCTGGCTGAAAGTCCCTGGCACCCTTGCTTACACTCACACTTTGGCACAAGTTCATGGGCTCACAGATCCCTGAAGGCCTATCCGTAGACCCCAAACTAAAACTCTTGGGAATCTATAAGCACTTGGACAGCTCTAAGACACAGGAAAGTCTTCTGGGTAAGCGTGTAGATGGGCAAATAAATAAATACATAAATAAAAGGCCCAGTGCCTTGGAGGGCTCCTGGAGGCTGTAAATCGAAAGTAGATAGAATGTAGGCTTTGTACAGGATGGAACCTCTCTGAGCTTCAGGAAGGGGAAAATTACCTGCTTCACAGGTGTTAAAAAAAGGTGTATAAAGTGCTTAGCACAGAAGTTCCACCTCATCTGTGGTTTTGCTTTCCACGGTTTCAGTTACCCGTGGTCTGAAAAATATTAAATGGAAAATTCTAGGAATAAACAATTCATAAGTTTTCAACTGCATGCCGTTCTGAGTAAGGTGATGAAATTTCACGGCATCCTGCTCCATGCTGCCCAGGACGTGAATCCTCCCTCTGTCCAGCGTGTCCATGCTGTACACACTCCCTGCCCACTAGTCACTTACTAGCCGTCTAGGTTATCAGATCCACTGTCGTGGTATCTCAGTGCTTGTGTTCAAGTCACCCTTATGTTACCTAATGACGAGCCTGAAGTATAAGAGTAGCTATGTTGGCAATTCAGATATGTCATAGAGAGGCCATTGAGTGCTTGCTTTAAGTGAAAAGGTGAAAGTTCTTGACTTCATAAGAAAAAAAAATTGCACGCTACGGTTGCTGAGATCTACGGTAAGAACAATCTTCTACTCGTGATATTGCCTAATTTATAAATTAAACTTTATTATAGGTAGGTATGTATAAGAAAAAACGCAGTATATGTAGAGTTCACACTATCTGTGGTTTTAGGCATCCACTGGGGTGTTTGGAACACATATCCCCTGCAGATAAGGGAGGACTACTACATCAGTTCTGGCTAAGAGGTCCATAGTATTATTTCTCTTGCTTCCTTCCACGCTGCTCCCTTGGATTAGAGTTAGCCCCTGGCTTCAGGGGAGAGGTGGTCATGTGGGCCAAGGCCCAAGGCTTCAGTAAAAACCTTATCACAGGGGGCTAACATTCCCTGCATGAGCTCATTCAGTGCTTATCAAACTTGCGACTTGGGGGTCACCATTGACTCCATTTTATACTCATGGACACTGAGGCTCAAAGAGGGACTTGAGCTGTGCAGGTCCCAAGCTCTGGTGGTACAGATTCCCTCTGTAGGAGCAGAGCTAAAGAGTCTGGGGTCATCACTCCCAAGTGGAGTGGGGAGATTTCTGGAGCCCAGGGAGCTGGAGATGAGGGGTTGGGGCGGAGACTAAAGATGAATCAGGGAAGGGGAAGACCACCTAATGACCTCGCGGGGCAGCTCAACTTCTCTCGAGCTGGCTCAGCAGTCCCTCTGCCTTCCTTCCTCTGGGGGCTCCCACATCCTCTGGCGATCTCTTGGCTCCCAGGGGAAATCACAGCAGATGCTTTCAAACCCGCACTCTTGAGGGGAGACTCCCTCCTTGTCAGCTACAGAGGAATTAAATGCCAGCAGGTGTGTGGCCCGGCTGTGGGCGGTGGGCAGAGGCAGGGCCAGGGCAGGGAGACATGAGCAGCTCCTCCCTGTGACATTTTCCAGCCCTCCCGCCCCATCCAGCCTCGGCTCAGGACTTGCTAAATGAAAGATGCTTCACACGCTCTGAACTCCGGCCTGGCATTTTCCAGCTCCTCTCGGAAATGCCAAGTCTTTAAAATGATTTACTGTCATGCAGTCAAATGGGGGAGATGCGCAACTTGGAAATGGTCCGAGGGAAGACTGTGCTGGGTTCCAGCAGGGCACCTGAGGCCCGGTCATGGCCGGCTGTGGGATCATGGGCAAGCCCAAGTGGCTGCTGTGGGCCTCGGTCTCCACACCCTACAACGGAGGTAAGATGAAGATGTTTCTAAAAGGGCTCTGTAAAGGTATGTGAGTGGTGAAGGCCATCCACCGGGCTGGGGGCCAGAAAACAGGAGGGCCAGGCACACCCATGTCAGCCTGTCAGCCTGGGAGGGAAAAGGGGCTCCCCGTTCTATGGCGTGGACAGCGACAAATCTGCTCTGATCCAGGCTTTACCACTGAGCCCCGAGCATTCCAAGGAGTGAACAGAGTGGGAGACTCTGAAACTATGAGGCCTGGAGATCTTCTTTAGCTCAGATCTCACCACAGAACAAAATGCCATAGCGATGATAGTCATGATGATAGATACAATAGTAATAGCAGTCAATCTGTTCAGCGCTTGCTCTGAGCCAGGTGGTGTCCTAACTGTTTCAAACGTACCATAACTCACTTAATCCTACAACAACCCTGGTGTTATCTCCATTGTGCAGAGAAAGCCCTGAGGCACAGTGGCTCAGCAGCTTGTCTAAGGTCACACAACCAAAACGTGGTGAAGCTTCAGAGCTACTTTTTTCCGGCTCCTATGGGTCCCAGGGTTGTGGCCCGCGTCACTGAGACCCTCACGCCTGCCTCTGTTTACTCAGTTGGGGTCTGCCGAAGAAGGACATGCGGGGGGCAGGAGTAAGGCCTCCGAGTTCCCTGAGAACAAGCCGACAATCGCCTAGGCCAGCCGAGCCTTGCTCAGGGCAGTGGACGATTGGACTTCCTGGGCAATTTTGAGGGCTTGGATGAGAAGGGACTATCATGGTCCTCTTGCACCAAAAAGACAGATACGAGAGTCCCTTCCACAGATGAGGGAACTGGTGCCAAGGACTTAATTGCTCCCTCACAATGACTATGAGATGGTATTGGCCGGGTGATGAAACTGATGCTTGGGGATGTCCAGGAACTTCTAAAGCCACACGGCTGGGAAGAGGTAGAGAACAACTCCAAAGGCACATGTATCAAACTCTCAAGCTTCTGTCTCATCTATATTCCTGTTAGTGTCATTCTGAAATGCGGGAGGAACTGTCATTGGCCTCATTCCAAGCACTAACAGTGAACGCAGGACCTCCAGGAAAGCTGCCTGTCTGCTGAGAGTAAGGTGGTGCCTTTCTTTGTTATATACCCTCACCGGGCTGTCTTCCTTTTGGTATGGGATTACATTCATTAAGATTGCTATCTGCCTCCCTCCCTAGGCTGTGAGCTCTGTGAGTGCAGGGTCTCATTTGTTTTAGCTCTGTGCCTGGCACCCAGCAGGCCCACACAAATATCTACTGAATAAATGAGCTCTCAAGGCAGCTGGCTTCATTTCTGGTCCACTGTAATTGCTACAAAGAGATTGTCTATACGGAGCCCTCCTGGATAGCTTCCCCTTAATGTACTCGGTGTTGCCCTGGACAGAGTCACCCTTTCTGACTCAGGATCTCCCTCCCTCTTGTCCCCATGAACCTTCTTAATCTACCATTTACTAGAATTTGACTCTGCCCAGCCCTGAGGTAGGTGCTTTATGCATAGATTTCCACTGTCTCCCCTTTGGGAAGATAGATATTTCTCTTACTGTCCCCCTGTTATCGCTGAGGAAAACTGAGGACCAGAGAGTCAGACATCTCACTCAAAGTCACACAGCCAGTTGGGATGGAGCCAGGATGTAAGCCCAGACCTTAGCTTCCTCCATCTGCAAAATGGGAACAATAAACTGCCATCATAATTTATAAGGACAACGGTGCTGGGTAGAGTCCTTTGAAATTAAAAGTTGGTGCTGTGTGTTTCCATGGCCACCTTCTTGGCAGCAGGACAGGTTTCTGCTCTCTGGTTCCTTGGAGTCAGTTTCAAGGGTGGGACCTCTCCACAGTTGTCATGGTGCCAGGAGAGCCGGGTCCCGACTGGGATGCTGGCTGGGAAGTTGGCCGATGGGCCTGTGACGTGACGAGGAGTTTGTGGAGTCGATTGTTATTTGCCAAGCCTCCCCTGCCCTGGCATTGCACTAAACACTTTCCCTGGGGTCTCCTTTCATCTGCACAGCATCCCTGTGAGGCCGGCATGCTTCGTACCCCAGGGTACAGATGAAGCAACCAAGGCTCAGCAAGGTTCTTAAGCTTGCCTGAAGTCACACAGCCGAGGCACAGACCCTCATCTGTCGTATTTTAAGCCCATGCTGTGTCCTGCCAACAATGCTGACTACCCACTGAGCACCTACTGTGAGCCAAGGACTTATCCTCTCAATCACCCTTTAAGATTGGTCCCTTCAAGCCCATTTTTACCCAAGGAAACTGAGGCTGAGAGATGTGAAGCCACTTGCCTGAGTTCATGTAGATTGGAAATCCAATCTGTCTGAATCCCAAACCTGGGCCCTTGACTGCTCTGCAGCATCAACGGCCCCCAGGGAGATGCTGGCACTCACCTCCTTGATGAAGTTCATGAAGCGGCCACCAAAGCGCCAAGCCTTGTGCCGATGGCACTGCAGGGAGTTCACGGTCATCTGGGGTGCCCGCTGGTAGCACACGGACACGATGTGGACGGCGTCATACAGTAAGGCAGCGTCAGTCTGGAAGGGAGGGCCCAGGGCCTGCCTGAGAGCTGCTCCCGAGAGTCCTCAAGCCCACTGCCCTGTCCTCCTTCCCCTCCCCCACCACAGGCACATGGGGTCCTGGTGAGGGAAAGGCCACGAGGCCCTAGAAGTGACCCTATCCATGCCCCTGGTGAGAGGCTTGTGTTGACTGCTGCTCTGCAGACAGACACCTGACTACCACCTTCTACAGTTCAGACCTCCTCCTGGCAGCCCTTGCCACCCCCTCCCCCTGCCCTGCTGTTGCTCAGGCCCTGCTCACACCTTAACCTTCCTGCCTCCCCAGCCTCTGCCGGTCATAGCTGTAAGTTCCCCATGCCAAGGGTCCACCTGTCCTTATCCCAGCTCTCTGTAACCATCCGTTTACATACCCTTAGAGTGGGACTATGTCTGATTCTTTTATGTCCCTGGCTCCTAGCCCCTAAGGTCCAGTTGACACATGGCATGTTTTAAGAAGGGAAGTGGTGGGAGGGAAGAAAGTAATAGCGAAAAAGAAAAGAAGGAAGAGAAGGAAGAAAGGGAAGAAGGAAGAGAGGGAGGGAGGAAGGTACGGAGGCATCCGTTTACATACCCTTAGAGTGGGACTATGTCTGATTCTTTTATGTCCCTGGCTCCTAGCCCCTAAGGTCCAGTTGACACATGGCATGTTTTAAGAAGGGAAGTGGTGGGAGGGAAGAAAGTAATAGCGAAAAAGAAAAGAAGGAAGAGAAGGAAGAAAGGGAAGAAGGAAGAGAGGGAGGGAGGAAGGTACGGAGGGAGGGAAGGCAGGAAGGCAGGAAGGCAGGAAGGCAGGAAGGCAGGAAGGCAGGAAGGCAGGAAGGCAGGAAGGCAGGAAGGAAGGAAGGAAGGAAGGAAGGAAGGAAGGAGAGCAAAAAGCAAGGGGAGCCCCTGGGTCTGGCCTCCCCTGCCACCTGCCACCGTACCATCATCACTCCGTCCAACAGGCCGGACTCGGCCCGGGGAGCCGCTTGCAGCCGCTCCATGGACCACTTCTCCACGATGGCCGAGACATGGGGGTTGTCTACGTTGAGAATCCGGAACCCTGTCAGGTTCACCCCCGAGTAGCGGTAGGGCTCCAGGTCTAACGCATAAAGATCCTGAAAGAGAGAGGTTCATGTAAATAAAGTTGTGTCTACTACAAGCTCCAGCCCCTGCCCTGCACTCCCTACTGGCGCCCAGTGCCCTTGCTGCAGCTCCCTGCAGAGTCCTGCAGGAGATGAAGCCGGTGGTGATGGAGCCCCCACAAGAGCACTGAACTTGGAATTGACTGAACACCTGTCTACATGGTGGTTGACCCTACATACTGCCAGGCCTCAGATAAATTGCTCAGCCTGTTATTTTTTTTCCTCCAGGATCTTTAAAAAGAAATTTTTTATTATTCAATTACAGTTGACATAAAATATTATATTCGTTTCAGGTGTACAACACAGTGATCAGCATTTATATAACTAATGAAGTGATCACCCCAATAAATCCAGTACCCATCTGACACCATACATACATAGTTATTACAATATTATTGACGATATTCCCCAAGCTATACTCTATAGCCTCATAATTATTTTGTAACGATCAATATGTACCTCTTAATCCCCTTCCAGTTTCACCCATCCTCTCTACCCCACCCCTAATCCAGGACTTATCAAAATGTTCTCTGTATCTATGAGTTTGTTTCTGTTTTGTCTGTTCGTTTCTTCATTTACTGAATGGGGACTGTGCCTCCTTTATAGGACCTGGTGAAGCAGTTCATACAAAACACCCAGCCTCAAACATCAAAAAAGCTTGATAATGGCCATAACGGTCATTTCCTCCGATGGGGGAGGTCCACCTTGTGGCGCTGGGTCTCAGCATCTGCAAGTTATTTAGAAGGAGGCTGACGGAAGTATTTTATTCCCCCCAAAAGGATATTTTAAAAGTTTTTTCTACCTGGAACTCAAAGAGCGTTACTGCCCTTGCCCTCGTCTCTCCCCTCATCCCCAACATGACAAGCCGGGGCCTCCTCGCCCCCTAGGAGCAGCTGACCAGCAGTCAGCCTGTCTATCTGTGGGCTGAGTCACATCCAGTCTGGTGTAATGGGCAGGCCCTGGCTTAAGCCCAGCTTTAGCTCCAGTGAGGTGGAGTTGGATACAGACAGAGAAGCCAGGTGCTAAGCTGAAAAGAGATGGCACTGGGGGTGGCGGTGACGGTGTGGTCACACGAGGAGCAGAGCAGAGCTTCGTCCTGCTAAGAAAACCCACCCCAAACTTGGAAATAAGGAAGGAGAGCAGCATGTCCTTTCAACATCCTATGGGACATGGTTTACTGGCCTGCCCGAGATTAAATGGTTCTCCCTGACAATACGCCTGGGTTTGACTTCACTCTCAGCTTCTGGTGAAAGGCACAGACCCTGAGTTCACTTGTAGATTTTTGTCCATAAGAAAGATAATCTGCAGGGTTGTGGTTTTATTGCCCATAGGATGTTAATCCATTTGGTATTTAAGCTAGCAGCCTTATTCTATGTGTTTCTCCTCCATACACCTAAATACGCAAGCCCTCAAAAGCTTTTTGAGCCAGCATTGCCTCCTACTGGTGCCTTGTTGAGTGGGATACATCTTTGACACATGTTTCATTCTATATTCTATATTTTTAATTTTTGAAAAAATATACTTTGACACTGTAGAATGGCCCCATCCCAAGAACAGGGAAAACGAATCTCAAGGTCATTGTCTGAGCCCCTCTTTATCTACTATCTATTCTTCTCCACACTCTCTCCTTAGAAAGATGGCTTTCCACCCTGACCCCAGGCCATCGTAGCTCTGAAGACTCAGTTGCTCCATCCCATGCTGGGAGAGAGTGGCTGGGGACACTATGCTTGTCTCTCCATGGCTTGAGCCATCAGGACTAACATTGCACCATCACAGTTGATTTGGTTAAACTGTGGTTAGGTCTTTTGCTCAAGGTTACACAGAGGGCAAGCAATGGCATCACACCCCCTAACCTGTGACAATGCATGCTCTCCTCAGCCCCTAGTTCACAACCGCCAGACATCATTGTCACCCCACACACAGCATTCGGAGGGTTACACAGAGGGCAAGCAATGGCATCACACCCCCTGACCTGTGACAATGCATGCTCTCTTCAGCCCCTAGTTCAAAACCGCCATCATTGTCACCCCACACACAGCATTCGGAGAGGTCTTTCTAAACAATAAATCCTGCTTAAGGTATTTCAATGGCTCCTTCTTGCCTTCTCAGAATAAAGCGCACGTTCCTTAGTATAGTTTACAAAGCTTTTGACCCCTCTGGCCTCACTAACTTTCCCATCCTCTCCATTTTTTGCCCAGGAATACTGAATGACCTTCATCGCCCTTTCCCGTTCCCTGCTGGTTCCTGTCCCCATCACGCAGCTCATCCCTGAACCGGTGCCTTTGAGTGTGTTCTATCCTCAGGCTGGAACGCCTATCTTCTCAACCCTTCTTGGTGGGTTATTCTGAGATTCAGCTCAAGTGTCACCTCTTCTGGGAAGCCTCCCTGACTGCTCCTTTGCACATGCATGACATAGTGGGTCAGGGATACTTCTGCTCTTATCCTGGGGCCTTTGGGATTTTACTGCATTGAAAACAATTGTCTATGTCGGCGTCTGTCTCTGCTATGAGCCAAATACTCCTGTCAACCAAAGTAGAAATAAAGTTCAGCCAGCTGAATAGCTCTCTGGGGCACATAAACAAACTGGCAAGAGTCTGGGGTAGAGGGACCAATGCTTCTCTTACTCCTCAGGGTGGAGTTCCCTATGGGGCTAGAAGTTAGGAGCGGTTTGGTAAGTTGCCTGGCGTGAGGCGGTGAGTCTGAGGACAGAGGGATTTTGTTTTGCTAAGCCATGTCTGCAGGTTTGGGGCAGGAGCTGAACTGCTGCTGCATGGAAGAAAAGATGAACTCTGCCCCCGGGAGGCGCCCTCCTCATTCTTCCCCTGCACGGCGATCAGCTTCTTCTCCAATTCGGTGTGCATCTGACGTCTAAGGCCTGAAAGAGGCCAAAGCACTAGCTTGCCTAGGGCTTCTGTGATTCCAGAGGCCAACTGGACTCACTGGGAAGGGTGGCATCTCTGGCTTTACTGGGGGCTTGGGTGCTGGTAACCAGTTTCCAGATACAACCCTCAGTCTGTTGACATTTACGCACTGTAGACAACTACGGCCTGGTGGGGGTGTGATGGGGTGTCAGTGCTGGGGTCACCTTCTTCCCAGTCACCTAAGCCTGGGCTTAGCTGCAAAGTGCTGTAGGGCTTGGGGCACCAAGTGCACCATCCCTGTGACATGAGGGCAGTAACAACGGGGAGCTGGTAAAGAGGCCTCTTTGATCAGCTCCAATTTTTTTTTATCCAAACTGCCCCAGGCTGAGACCCCAAAAGCTGTACATGGTGAACCGTGCACAACCTTGCTGCTTGGCAAAAAGTTGCTGTTCTCCATGCCAAATGTTGACACACTGAATTCAGCATCGACGAGGGACCTTTTAGAAACATTCAGCATAACATAATAGACTAATTCATTAGCACCCCATGGGTCTGACTGGGTAGAAGCTGAAGCTCGGAAAACATCGCCTTAAGGAATGACAGATGAAAATATCTTCCCCATGATATAACTGTTATTGCTGGGAAGTGGCATTAATTGTGATTGCTTATCTATTAATTTATTATAATTTTTTTTTCACCTTCAGGCTTTTTACCTACACATGACATGTACCAGGGGCTCAGCTGGTGCTGATTAACGCGGGGTTATCTGGAAATGGCTCAAAGCTGGCTGGAACAGATAATGGCAGCTGGGGTAATTAAAATGTCTTCTGCATGGGAGAAGCAAGTTTGGAGAATTTTTTAGAGGTGGAGTTGGTGACATGGATTTCCTACAGGGAAGGAGATAAATGCCAGATGCTCCTGCCCTCCTAATTCGGTCACGACTGACCAATAGGCAGAGGCAGAATTACTAGGTAGATGCCTAAGCGAGAGCCTGAGAAGAGTGTCCTGGAATTGGAGCTGGAATCAGGACATGGGCTGGGGGAGAGGACCCAGAGGTCACAGCTAATGCTCTGGCATGTGCGGGGGCGTTACTGGGAGATACCCTGGCAGCCTCCCCATCCACATACTCCACTGCAGAACTGTTTGAATTGCAGAGGCTGTGTTTCCCTGGGGGGATCTACTCCCCCTGACCTTCTGAGAAGTCGGGGGAGGGAGGGCAGTGGGCTGAAACAGCCATGGGCGAGACCGGAGGTCAGGAGCAAAGGGCTCTCTCTATCACTGATCTGCTGTAAGGCCCTGGGCAGGTCACTTAACCTCTCTGGTCCCAGGTTTCCCCATCAATCAACAGGGAGCGCAAACTCTTCTCTGTGAAGAGGAAAATCAATGATGTGGAGAAAGGGCTTTGGAAACTGTGAAGTGTGGGCGCTGCTGGGATTTGTGGAGGCTCCATTGCCCCTATTAGTGTCAATCACCAGGCCTGGACCATTGAGGCCAGCTATGTGGAATCAGAGCCTGCCAGAGGAGGCCAGTCAACACTTCCTGCAGCATGACAGGCTTCAGCAGAGGGCTTGGAGCTGGACAGCTACCAGCCAGTAACAATTCTTGCTCTGCCCCTTTCTTGTTGAGTGACCTCTCTGAGCCTCAGTTTCTACTTTTCTGTAAAACTGGGAGAGACTTACCTCCCTCAGAGAGATGGATTGTAGATGAGATGAAGTATGCTGAGTACACAGTAAACATAAGCATTAATTTATTTCATTAATTGATTTAGCTCTTACAGAGAACTAGATGCCAACCACTTTTCTAAGCACTTTACTGATGTCAATATATTCAATACTCAGCATAACCATCCTATAGGTCGTACTGTTATTGTGCAGTTTTACAGAGGGGAGAAATGAGGCACAGAGAGGTAAAGTAACCCAGAGTCCATGGTCTTAACTGTTGCTGTCATGAGAATGTTGCTAATTTCACTGATTACTTTCTACTTTATATTGTAGTCATTCATTTGCTGATTGATTCATTCAAGTATTCATGAGCACCTACCATGTACCAGGCACTATGGGCACTAGAGATGTAGAGGTGAGTCAGGCACAGTCCTTGATCCTTATATGCATGAAGAAAGCTTACCAGCTGGTGAGGTTTGTATTGGATCCATCTCTGTATACCCCTTCCCACCCGAATGTCTAGCTCAGTACCTAGGACACCTTGAGAGAATCTGTATATGGCTGCTGTATAAGTGAATAAATGAATGAATGAATTAAGGAAATGAAAAATTAAGAGAAGTGGACCCTGTCAGGGTCTAGAAGAAGGGCCCAGGATGCCTAGACACTGCCATGTGCCTCCCTCCAAGAACTCCAATCTTGACCCCAGTTCAGCAATGGCATTAATGTGGAGGGCACTGGAGTGGTGCCTCCTCCAGAGTCTTGCCTGGAAGGTCGGGCCACGTTGTAGGGCTGTGGGTCCAAAGCTTTAGGCCCTACTGTTCCCTCAGTTCCTTGAAGGGACACCCCCTCTGGCCTTGGAAGGAGCCGTGAACCAGGTGGAGATGGTTTTAATTGATTTTGTGGAGCTGAGATTGGGAACAAGGCCCAGAGAAGGCTTAATCATAGGCCCTGCTGGGGACAGAATGGGCCATACTCAAGGTGGGTGAATAAGATGTGTGGATTTCATTCCTGCCACTTCTGAAGGAACTTCCCAATGACCCACACCTTCAGTTTGGTGACCATGTCTTGGATTTTGTGTGGATTTCGTTCCTGCCACTTCTGAAGGAACTTCCCAGTGACCCACACCTTTGGCTTGGTGGCTTGGTGACCATATCTTGGATTTTGTGAGTGCACTGTACTCCTCTTCCACCAACAGACCTCAGCCAACTGGCCAAGGAGTGGTCGGTCACCTGTCCCGAGGGTGGCTTCTATAATCTGGCTGATGACCCAGCCCTTACTTTGGGGACATTTGGAAATGTGGGGTGGCATTTATTTAATTGTCACCAAGCTTGGAAATTAGTCAGTGGGGACAGGGCATTCTGGAATGATGAATTGTCCAGATCCAAATGCCTATATATTGCCCTGTTGAGAGACACTGACTGGTGCTTGGCTGGTTAGCAATTTGACCTGGGGAAGGTGGGTAAAGCTCAGAGAAAGAGGTGGTAAGAAGTGGCAGAGGCAGACGGATGGTCAGCTGGGATGTGATGGGCCCAGAGCAGCTGTGATGTGCTAAAGTTTCCAGGGATGACGACTTCGAGGAAGGAGGAGAGACCAAGAGTCGGGGTGGGTGCCATGGGAGGGAGAGAGAAAGGGGAGACCCTAGCTGAGTCTCAGTGCAGAGGGTTGGAAGCATCATCTCATCAGGTCCAGAGTCACTTTGGATCTAGAATAAACCACCCTCCTAGTCTGCTCTTGTGACCCGGTGGTTCATCCTCAAACTCCTAATGACTTGAGGTTACTTGAGTGAGTTCTGCTCCATAAAAGCAAAAAAGGCCAATGAGACATTTGAGGCTCTGAGGCACCTCAACTACTTACTCCCACTTTACAGACAAGGAAACAGGACCAGGGAGGTTAAGTAATCTGCCCACGTGCACGGCTAAGAGGTGATGGAGCAGGGACTCTCATCCTTCCCTGGGCCTCTGAGGCCTGCTCTTCTCCTCTCACTGTGCTGGAAAGTAATGTGGAGGGTGGATGGGCATGGTCTGCATGGGCCTTCAGCAGTCCTGAGCAATCGCCTGCTCCTGCATGCAGTGTCCCCTTGTCCTTCCCTTTTCTTTTCCTATCATGGGTTCCAGGGCTTTGTCACAGCAACTCAGAGTGATAAGGACTCAGGGACATGAGTCAGCAGGATACAAATGTGAGAAGAATGTGTTGAGCTACTGACACAGGGCTTGTTGGGACCCCCAACGGCTCGGAAATTGGTCTTAGCACTCTGGGAGCCCAAGATGGGATAGACAGGGCTGCCATGCTGAGGACAGGGCCTTGGGCCCCTGGAGTATGCCCCACTCTACCTTCCCAGACTTAATCCTCTAGCCTGCTCCCAGCTCCAAATAGGTACACTATCAGGAACCTCATCCTCCAAGCCTCCAATGACTTGCCAGGATATATAGCATGGTTGGGAGAAGCCGGCTTAGGTGGGTAGAAA